CTCTCTATTCCCTAGAGTGCAGTGGCGTGATCTTGGCTCACTGCATACTTCACCTTCTGAGTTCAAGCGATTCTCATGCCTTATCCTCCCAAGTAGCTGGGGTTACAGGCAACCGCCACCACACCAGGCTAATCTTTATACTTTTAGTAGAGATGAGGTTTCACCATGTTGGCCAGGTAGGTCTCAAACTCCTGACCTCAAGTGATTCTCCCGCCTCAGCTTCCCAAATTGCTGGAATTATGCACATGAGTCACTGCATACAGCCTATTTTCTAGAAGAAAGAAAGTGAGGAATGGTGAACTATTTTAATAATTGACTTCAGTCATCTTTTAGAAGCCACAGTAGGTCCTGTGTAATTATAAGTATACATGTACTAAGATTTTGAAAAATTATGAGGTTTCTATGAGATATTTTTAAAAGATACCAAAGCTGCTGAAAATAGGAATGGATCGTTTAGAGCTGAAGGAGATCAGTAGACATACTAGTGTAGTCATTATTGAGAAAGTAACATAGTTGCTCCCAGGAAGTTAAATCCATTACATATTGTGGCATGTACAGCTAGATGCCTAATCTGATTTCCATTCTATGCTTCTTCCTTAGTAACAGAACCCTGATTCTTATGTGGGCACAGTGCTGACCAAAATATAAGACTGTTTTATAATCTTTCTTATAACTAGTGTGTGCTTATTGCTAAATTCAATGCCGTAAGATGTAAGTGGATATATGTGAACTTCCAGAAAGCCACCACACAAGGATGCAGGCATACCTTTCCCTCGCTGCTGTCCGAGAACTTGAGAATCATCTTGGATCATGAGGTGACATGGTCAAGATGGCAGAGCAGTACCATCTTCATTCCAGGGAGGAAGCTGGGTCTCCAGTGAACATGGAGAACCATAATAACCCTGCACAAGGGTGGAAAGATGTGATACCTTTTCTCATTCATCATAAGGTTTGTGGCTGACATTCCTATATCAAAAGACAAGTTAACAAGAGAAAGTTGCAACAACTTCATTTAATCAAAGTTTTTTTGTGACTTGGAAGGCTTCAGATATGAAAACCAAAGACCCAGAGAAGACTATCTATTTTTATGTTTAGGTTCGATGAAAAATGGACTGCCACGTAGAAATGTGATGGGACAAAAAGAGAACGATCTAATGGTGATAGATTGAGTAGCGAAACCCAGCAAGGCCTATTTGATCAGATTCTTCTGAGTCTCTGCGTGGCATTCCTTTTTCTTGGGTATAGGACAGCACCCCTGTGGAATGAGGGTCTTATGACCTACTATCAGACAAGTTAGATCAGATAATATTTTTATGGCCAGCTCCTACACAGAAAGGCAAGGGAAAGTTAGAATAGTATTTCTACATTTTATGACTGGCTTTGGGGGAGACGAATTCTCAGGGAAAGAATTCTGATTGGCCTGATTTGGGTTTTATGCCCAATCTTTGAGCCATTTGAGGGTTAGCATTATAATCTGTCCAGTTGCGGGCCAGGTATCGTGGCTCATGCTGATAATACTAGCACTTGGTGAGGCCAAGGAGGGAGAATCACTTGAGGGCAGAGTTTGAAACCAACCTGGACAACATGGTAAGACCCTGTTTTTACAAACAAAATCAAGGTGGCCATGACAAGTGGCACACGCCTGTAGTCAGGGGTAGGGAGGGGAGGTTGTTTGGACCAGTAGTTTAAGGCTGCAGTAAGCCATAATCATGACACTGTACTGCAGCCTGGGTGACAAAGCAAGACCCTGTCTCAGAAAAAAAAATACAAACAGGATTTTTTTTCTTCCCTTTAGCTTAAAACAACAGTCAACCTGCAGCCCTGCAGTGAGACGCAGAGCTGCCCAGCTAAGCCAAACCCAGATCAGCTAAACCCCAGCTAAGCTGTAGAAGAACATAATAAATTAATGTTGTTTTAAGCTAAAAGGATCATGAGGTCAGGAGTTCAAGACCAGCCTGGCCAAGATGGTGAAACCCTGTCTATACTAAAAATACAAAAATTAGCTGGGCGTGGTGTGGGCACCTGTAATCCCAGCTATTCAGGAGGCTGAGGCAGGGAATTGCTTAAATCTGGGAAGCAGAGGTTGCAGTGAGCTGAGATTGTGCCATTGCACTCCAGCCTGAGCAACAAAGTGAGACTCCGTCTCAAAAAATAAAAAAAAAAAAAAAAATCCTTGCAGTCCCATTCACATCCTCTCGGAACCCTACAGCCAAGACAGAAGGATGAGGAAGCCCAACTCAGGTTAACGTCTCTGTGGATGAAACCCCACGTGGAGAGAGGCCCAAGTGTCCCAATTTCCTAACGCAGCTCTCAGCTGACCCGATAGACGAACGTAACTTCATGAGTGAGCCCAGGTGAGAGCAACAAAAGAACCCCTATCCAACCTGCAGAATTGTTGCATGGTTGTTTTAAGTCACTAAATTTGGGGATGGTTTGGGATGCAGCAATAAATAAAGAATACAATATGGCTAAGCCCAAAATCAAGAGGCAGGGAAGTATGTCTCCATATGACAAGTGTATGAATGCAGGGACGGTGAAGGTTTGAGACCAACTATTCAATCCACTACCATGTATAAATCTGAAGTTTAATTACTTTAATTCTAGATTGGTCTTCAGTTGTTAATGGCTCCTGACATGTTAAATTTGTTTTCTAGCTCCCCAACCCATTCTATCTTTGTGATTACTTATCTCCGGTTCTTTCCTTCCTGTATTCACATGCTATTCCTCCATCAAGAGGTGAATTCTATTTCTGCACACTCTTGAATCTGGACTGGCTGTGATTGGTCTGACAAATAAAATACAGTGAAGTAATCCTTAACCTTTTAGAGGACTGGCAACTTCCACTCCTACCTCTTGGAAGCCTGGCACCATGTAAGAACAACTATCCTAACTACTCTGCTATGAGAAAGCAAGTTTTTGGCACGTTATTCTTTTTTTTTTTTTTTTGAGACAATCTTGCCCTGTCGCCAGGCACCAGGCTAGAGTGCAGTGGCACGATCTCGGCTCACTGCAACCTCCGCCTCCCGGGTTCAAACAATTCTCCTGCCTCAGCCTCCCCAGTAGCTGGGACTACAGGTGCGTGCCACCACGCCCAGCTAATTTTTGTATTTTTTAGTGGAGAGGAGGTTTCACCATGTTGGCCAGGATGGTTTCAATCTCTTGATCTCGTGATCCACCCGCCTCGGCCTCCCAAAGTGCTGGGATTACAGGCTTGAGCCAACACACCTGGCCTTTTGGCGCCTTATTAAAGACAAATGAATACTTACACATATGTTTGGAGTCCTATTTAGAGAAAAGGAATTAGGCTGGCAGGACTGAGGGAAAACAAAAAGAGAAAGAAGATAAGGTAGAAGTCTGCCTTTCTTCATGATCTGGGACACACAGCTCTTCTGCACAAATAGCTCACAATCTTCCCGCACCCAGCCATCAGCAGACACCTGCAAGTTAACTCACTGCAACTTTGGCTCCCTGTTGCTCCCTGGCAACATATTTTCATACTTTCTCTAATAAATCTGCCTTTCTTTATCTACAACTGCCATGGTAAATTATTTTACACACACACCACTGGTCCAGATAGCCATTGCTCACCCACGACATTATGTTTAGTGAAGTTCTATTCTGCATTTTCATTATTTTAAATAGTAGATATTACATTTTGTTTATCCATTCATCAGTTGATGGACATTGGGTTGTTTCCACTTCTTAGCTATTATGAAGAATGCTGCTATAAACCTTCTCATATCACAATTTCCTGATTTTGGATATTTACCTACCAGTGGAATTGCTAGCCAGATGGTGGCTGCTACACACCTTTGCCTCCCCTTTCCTAAAAGGACAAACTCTTTTTTCTCTTTTTGTAGAGATGGGGTTTTGCCATCTTGTGCAGGCTGGTCTTTAACTCCTGGGTTCAAGCGATGCTCTCACCATAGCCTCCCAAACGGCTGAGATTATTACTAAGCCACCACACCTGGCCAAGGATATAAACAGAAAATATTCTGTGTTAATGTAAACGGTGTTGTATATTCATTCCTGGCTCCTATTCTGACTTTGATTTCTACTCTCTCCAGGGTGGTTCTGCCCTGGGTCCCTTGGCCTCTACAAAACACAGCTACAGGGATCATTCTCTTACTTCATTCAGATCTCTGATCACTGATAACTATATTAGAGGGATCTTCCCTGATCACTGCCTAAAACAGCTGTCCTTACCATCTATTCCTTTGTCAATCTCCATCCTCAGAACACTTTGCACCTCTGATGTTTACTCATTCATTTATTTATTTATGTCTGCCACTCCTCAGACTGGTAGGAGGGACATGTGCTTCAAGGGATTAAGAACTTTTAAAGGCCGGGTGCCATTGCTCACACCTGTAATCCCAGCACTTTGGGAGGCCCAGGCAGGTGTATTGCTTGAGCCTAGGTGAGCAGCCTGGGCAACATGGCAAACCACATCTCCATAAAATACAAAAATTCACATTTTATAAATGGAGTGGCTCTTCATTTTATAAATTGCATCCATAGAACCTAGAACAGAAACCAAGTACTCAATATATATTGGTTAGATAAATTAGTGAGTGAGTGAATCAATGAATGAAGAATCTTTGGTTTCCTTGAGAATCCTCTGCTGCATTGAGGACTGTCCAGTAGGAAATTATATCAAGCAAACACCATGCAAAGTTGGCCACTATCAAAAAATTCCAAGGGTCATTTGTGGGCCTAGCTCTGAGTCATGAAAGCAAAAAGGAAAATAGAATTTAAAATTAATCTCACTACTTCTGTTCTCACTTCATGGCATGGTTTCTGTTGCTTTCCTCTTTAGCTACTTAGGTGAAAATTAGGCCTTTTATGGCCTTCAGTGTTTTCTGTTGTCTACATTAAACATTGTGTGGCAAAGAACAGTGGGCTAATAAGAAACCTCAGATCCACTGAAGCCTTAATTGTCAGTGCAAAAAGAACTCAACTGGTTTTCTCTATGTGAGTGTTTTTAAAAATATATAAATTTTTTGAGATAGGGTCTCACTCTGGCTCACTGTAGCCTCAACCTCCCAAGCTCAAGCGATCCTCCCACCTCAGCCTCCCAAGTAGCTGGGACCATGGGTGTGAGCCACCATGCCTGGCAAATTTTCTTATTTTATGGAGATGTGGTTTGCCATTTTGCCCAGGCTGCTCTCCTAGGCTCCAGCAGTCTATCTGCCTGGGCTTCCCAAAGTGCTGGGATTACAGGTGTGAGTTATGGCATCTGGCCTTTAAGAATTCGTAATCCCTGGAAGCACATGTCAACCTGGCTTTGCCCACTAGGTTTTCTGAATCTTACCACAGGCCTCCTTGATATGTGCTTAAAGTCCTTCGTTTCCTCTATCTTTCTTTGTCCTTTGTCCCCACTTTTCTCATCTTTTGTCCCTATTCCAATTCAACGGTTGATTTAGACAGCGATAACACTAGTAGATGTCTGTATTTCTGTTTTACTTTCAATTTTCTGCCATATAGTTATTTCTCTTTTTTTTGAGACAGAGTCTAGCTCTTGTCACCCAGGCTGGCGTGCAATGGCATGATCTCGGCTCACTGCAACCTCCGCCTCCTAGATTCAAGCGATTCTCCTGTCTCAGCCTCCCGAGTAGCTGGGGTTACAGGCATGCGCCACCATGTCTGGCTAATTTTGTATTTTTAGTAGAGATGAAATTTCACCATGTTGGTCAGGCTGGTCTCCAACTCCTGGCCTCAAGTGATCCTCCCTTCTCCCCCTCCTAAAGTGCTGGGATTAGAGGCATGAGCGGTCGTGCCAGACCCATATAGTTATTTCTTATCTCAGCTTAGTTATATTGAACAAATGTTTGTGAACTAGATGCTGTGCTGAACATTTGCTAGGCCTTGGAGATACTGACATTCTAAAACAATTTCTACTTACAGTATTTTGCAATGTAAGCAGTCTCCATTCCACTCCTTTATGTTGTGATTGCAACCTTCTTGCCACTTCTCTATGGGCTTAAAATAACTTGTACATAGGTAGTGTTTACTAATGTGGGAAATTAGTTGAACTGAATTGATAACCAATCTAAAATCTGCTTTCTTTCTTCCACTCCTTGTCAATCCAATCTACATCCTCCCAGAAGTACCCTGTGAGTAACAGTGGCAGGTTTTACAGTTGTGAGCAGTCTACGCAAACCTACCACAAAGTCTAAGGAAGCTGAGAAGTCAAAGAAAGAGGCTGACAAATCTAATTTCTTAGAAGGAAACATTTAATAGAGACTTAAGAACAGAAGCCATTTCTGTGTCACCAGAGGTAGTGAAAAAAGGTGGCAGATCCCCACACTATTACCCCCCAGACCCAGGGTTTTTATACCAGTGGTGAGGGGCACACAGGCTTCAGAGGGAATGGGTAGGAATTTGCCCTTAAGGCAGGATTGATGGTAAGTACATGCTCTTACACAAGAGACATTAGATGAACTGGACATCTCAGAGACATTCCCAGAAGAACTGAGGTTGATCTGAAGTCAATATGGTGGATTACCAACCAAGATGGAGTTACTTTGATCTCCCATCCAAGATGAAGTTGTTTTGGCCTTCACATAACTATTCCATTTTTTATATTGAAGCTAAGAGGCAATTAGCCAAAGAAAATATTTGTAAATCATTTATCTGATAAGGGGCTTGTATTCAGATCATATAAAGGACTTTTGCAACTCAATAATGAAAAGGCAAATAGCTCCATGAAAAAACAGGTATGTTGGCGGCTGGACTCTGTGGCTTACACCTGTAATCCCAACACAAGATCACTTGAGCCCAGTAGTTCAAGACCAGCCTGGGCAACCCAATGAGACTCCCTGCCTCCCCCACCCTAATATCTACTAGAAAAAACAATAGCCACATGTAGTGGTGCATGCCTGTAGTTCTACCTACTTGGGAGGCTGAAGTGAGAGGACTGCTCGAGCCTGGGAGGTTGAGGCTGCAGTGAGCTGTGATAATGCCACTACACTCCAGCCTGAGTGACAGTGAGACCTTGTCTCTAGAAAAAAAACTTTTTTGATGGGGAAGAATAGATAGTTCTCCAAAGAAGATATACAAATTGCCAATAGCCTAACGAAAAGATGCAACATCATTAGTCAGTAGAGAAATGCAAATAAAAATCACAATGAGATACCACTTCACACCTAAAAGGATGGTTATAATTTTAAAAATGGACACTAACAAAGTGTGGCATAGTATGAAATACTTATGGCCTTTGTCTCCAGCTCCTGTCACAGAGTACCTAAAACCTTTGACATTTTCTATCCAGGGCGGGGCCCTGAGATAGCTTCAGGGTGGGACTGGTCACCAGAAAGAGCAAGTGATTAGAGGGTTGAAACTTTCACCCCCCGCCCCCACCAATCTCTGGAAAGGGTGTAGGGGGATTTATAGCCCATTGGTCAGAAGAATAGATCACAATCTACTTGGATTGGTATCAGAAGTTGGGGGCAATCTTGTGGGACTGACCCCCTGACCTGTGGGATCTGATACTATCTAAAGATAGATAGTGTCAGAATTGAATTGAATTGAATTCTCTAGTGGACACCCAGTCGATGTCCACTAAAGAAGTACCTGGGAAATATCTTTACATATCTGGTCACAGAATGTTCTGTGATGAGTGTGTGAGTAGAAAGATAAAACTGTTTTTCCTCTTCACATTTGTGTAGGAAAGGACATAGAGAAATGCACAAATATTGCTGGTGATAATACAAAATGGTACAACCACTGTGAAAAACAGTTTGGCAATATACAAAATATTAAACATAGAGTTACTATTTGACCCATCTGTTCCTAGGTATATACCCGAGAGAAATTAAAACGAATACACATATCTGTAAAACCATGTACACTTGGCCTTCTATATCCGTGAAGTCCACATCCTTGCATTCAAACAACCATAGATCAAAAATATTTAGGGAAAAAAGATAAAAAATAATAAGATCCTGAGAGCTGTTGGGGCATTTTAAAATGATACAATAAACAACAATAAAAAATTTAAAATACAGTATACAACTATTTACATAGCATTTACATTGTATGAAGTATTATAAGTAATCTAGAGATGATTTACAGTAGACAGAATGATGTATGTAGTTTATATGCAAATACTCAGGGACTTGAGTATCCTTGGATTTTAGTGTCCATGGTAGTCCTAGAACCAGCTCCCCATGGATACCAAGAGACAACTGTACATGAATGCACATACCAGATTATCCAATAATAGCCAAGAAGTGGAAACAACTCAAATGTCTGTCAACGAGTGAAGAAAACGTGATACAGTCATAGGATGGAACATTACTCAGCAGTAAAGAGGAATCAAAGGGTGGGCGCAGTGGCTAATGCCTGTAATCCCAGCAATTTGGGAGGCTGAGGCAGTCAGATCATTTGAAGTCAGGAGTTCAAGACCAACCTGGCCAACATAGTGAAATCTTGTCTCTACTAAAAATAGAAAAGTACTGATGCATGCTATGACATGGAAGAACCTTGAAACATTATGCTAAGTAAAAGAAACCAATTTCAAAAGACCGCATAATGTGTGCTTCCATTTAGATGAAATGCTCAGAATAGGAAAATCTGTAGACACAGGAAGTAGATTCATGGTTGTCTAGGCTGAGGAGTCTAAGAGTTCGGGAAAAAATAGGGGAGTAAATATTCATGGATACTGGATTTGGTGGGAGTGATGAAAATGTTCTAAAATTGATTGTGGTGACTGGTGCACAACCCTGTGAATATATTTTAAACTATTGAATTATCCACTTTAAATGAGTGAATTACATGGTAGGTGAGTTATACTTCATAAAAGCTATTAAAAATGAGATAAGAGGCTGAGCATCACTCCTGTAATCATAGCACTTTGGGAGGCCAAGGCGAGAGGGTCATTTGAGCCCAGGAGTTTGAGACCAGCCTGGACAACATCGAGAGACCCCATCTATATTAGTTCATTCTCACATTGCTATGAAGAAATATCCGAGACTGAGTAATTTATAAAGGAAAGACGTTTAATTGACTCACAGTTTCCCATGGCTGGGGAGGCGTCAGGAAACTTACAATCATGGCAGAAGGCAAAGCAGAAGTAGGCACCTTGTTAACAGGGCAGCAGGACGAAGTAAGTGCAAGCAGGGGAAATTCTAGGTGCTTATAAAACCGTCAGATCTCATGAGACTCACTATCAGGAAAACAGCATGAGGGAAACCACCCCTATTACCTCCATACTTGGTCCGGTCCTTGAGGCATGGGGATTATGAGGATTACAATTCAAGATGAGATTTTTGGTGGGAACACAGCCAAACCATATCACTGTCTCTACAACAATTTTTTAAAAAATTATTCAGGCATGATTGCACATGCCTGTGATCCCAGCTACTTTGGAGGCTGAAGTAAGAGGACCATTCGAGCCATGATTGCACCACTGCACTCCAGCTTGGGTGACACAGAGAGACCCTCTCCCAAAAAAAGAGGAAAATAAGATATATATTCTATGATCCAACAATTCTGCTCCAGGTATATATCCCAAAGAAATTTTCACACAGGGCTATATGGGAACATGTGCAGGCATGCTTGCCGCATCACAGCTCTGGGCAGCAAGGAGCTGAAGGCTATCTAGGTGCTCATCCTTGGGAGAGTAGACTGGTAAAATGTGGTGGGTGTCTATATCCGAGTCTAATGCGTCAGTGAGCAGCACTGGGTTAAATGTAGGCAAAGTGGCATAGATGACTTTTAAATACATAGGCATTGAGTGGAAAAATGTAAGAACCGGGAGAGGTATATAATACAGTACCATTTCCATAGGTTAAAAATGCATGTAGGCTGAGCACAGTGGCTCATGCCTATAATTCCAGCACTTTGGGAGGCTGAGGCAGGAGGATAGCTTGTGCTCAAGAGTTCAAGACCAGCCTGGACAACAAAGTGAGACTCCATCTTTCAAAAAAATAAAAAAATTAGCCAGGTGCAGTGGCACATGACTGTGGTCCCAGCTTCATGGGAGGCTGAGGCAGGAGGATCACGTCAGCCCAGTAGATCAAGGCTGCAATGAGCTGTGTTGCCCTGTTCACACCACTGCACTCTAGCATGGTTAACAGAGTGACACCTGACACCCTGTCAAAAAAAAAAAAAAAAAAAGGAAAATACATACCCATAAATCAATATATTTTGTAATAATACATTCAAATAAAAAGATAGCCCACTCAAATAGAAGTGGCAATTAGTCCTGTGCTTGGAGTCTCTTTTCCTTTGTGTCATAAAAGTTCAGAATATGTGGAGCTAGAAACCATCAAAAAGCATCCATCAGTAAGACTGCAAGAGAGATTGGTGCCTTGGTTCACTTTCCATTTCTTTATGTTTTAACCAAGCATGAGGTCCTCGCTAGAAGCTGCCAGATGTGACTTCCTAATCTTGAACTTCCCAGAACCATGAGCTAAACAAATCTCTTTTCTTTATAAATTTCTCAGGCTCAGGGATTCTGTTATAACAATACAAAATAGACTAATAAACATGGTGTGTACTTATCATGAGTACTTTATACTTTTATTTGAAAATCCCTCTTCAGAGTTTTCTATTATATACAATATAGATAATGAAATATGTATTAAAGTTTTTGCTTTTTAAACTTATGAATCAATGTGAAAATAAGATTGATACATAGAACAATAGAAGAGAATGTGAATAAGTAATTGTAGAAGAAGAAATATAAATGGTCAATATAAAATGAGAAGTTGCTCAACCTCATTAACAATCAATGAAATGAGAGTTGGAGCAAGACATTATTTTGAGACATATAGATTGATGGATATGAAAATGATAATATCAGGGATGCCACTGCTATAAACTAGGGCTGGAAGGGCAAGTTGCTATACCCTTCTAAAGGGACAATAGCAATATGTAACATCAGTTAAAATGCACAGACCTTTTGCATTATGTTTAACTTTTTATACCTGCAGTAATAACATTATTATGTTAAGTAGTTCTTATCTTTTAGAGACAGACATTGAAATACTATAAATGACATTCTGTAATAACTTGGATTGCTTCAACATAGGCTGGTGAGGGCCAGGCATGGTGACTCATACCTATAATCCCAGCACTTTGGGAGGCCAAGGTGGGCAGGTCACTTTGAGTTCAGGAGTTCAAGACAAGCCCGGCCAATATGGTGAAACCCCATCTCTACTAAAATGCAAAAATCAGCTGGGTCTGGTGGCACGCACCTGTAATCCCAGCTACTCAGGAGGCAGAGGTACAAGAATCACTGGAACCAGGAGGTGGAGGTTGCAGTGAGCCAAGATCATGCCACTGCACTCCAGCCTAGACGACAGAGTGAGATTCTGTCTCCAAACAAACAACAAACAAAAAATGCTGGTAAGGAGGTTAGGGGAAAGTAGATAAGAGTATAGATGAAAGAAGTGTAGCCATGAGTTCATGTTTGTTACATCTGGGTGATGAGGTCATTGGAATTATTATACTATTCTTTTAACTTCTGTATTTTTAAAAACTTTTGCAAAATAAAATGTTGAGGAAGAAGAATAAAAACATGCAACTAAATTTTAACACAGCATTTATATTTGAGAAATTTTATCATAAGGAGAGAATCGACTAAGTGGGCAAAGATACAACTACAAAAAGATTCAGCGTAACTTTCTAATTAAAACTTCTGGGCATTGAGCTCTTTTCTTATCTGAGCAAAGAACTAGTTTGACGAGATCCTGAAAGGTCCACAAACTGGTAACTCTGGCTCAGGAGAAGATATGCATTACATACTTAAAGGTCAAACACCCACAACTCAATCACTTTTTGATAAATGATATCCAGCAAATGACGCCAATTTTAGCTACCTAATAAGATGAATCTTAAGTGACCTCCAAAGAAAGATATGTTGTTCAGAGTTACATACAGTGAAATTATGAAACTAAGTACAGCAGGTCCTTGAATAACATTTTTTTTCAATATTATTGTGTTAGAACATTGATAAGGCAAAAAAAAATAAGTTCCCAGCTGGGGCCACTGTTTGTGTGGAATTTGCACATTCTTCCCATGTCTGTGTGGGTTTTCTCTGGCTACTCAGTTTCTTTCCACACCCCAAAGATGTGCACATTAGGTGAGTGGATGTGTCTTAATGTCCTAACCTGAGTGTGAGTGTGTGTGTGTGCGTGCGCGTGTGCCCTGTGATGGAATGGTGTCCTGCCTGTCCACGTCTTGCCCCAAGCTGCTGAGATAGGCTCCAGCTACCCAAGACCCTAAACTGGAATAAGCAGGTTGGAAAATAAATGAATACAAATTATTGTAAATTAAATATTCGTAAAGTATATGATAATCATACAAATACACAACAATAAATGATGTGGTATGAAGGTGCTCAGTGAGCCTGCCATATTGGTTATTGTTTGTTTTTTAACTGTGTAGTGGTAGGAGGTGCCTCTTACAGATTTTGCTTTGCAAATGCTTTTGATTTAACCACCACCACCACTACTGCTGCCACTCACTGACTCACCAAAAATCAAGTAAATAAATAATTATGTAACTTGTTTTTATTTATCTGTCTTATCTTTAAACATTTATTTGTTTTAATGTTTAACATTAGAAGTGTGTTAGGTCTTTATTTAGAAGTTTGGTGATGTTTCTATGACCAGAAATATGCCATAGGAACATAATTCTTGATTGTATCAATTAGCCTATGGTAAAATTGGTTTCATTACACATCGTTTTGCTTAAAATTGAAGTTTCCAAGAACATATTGGTGACATTAGGTGAGGACTTACTGTATAGAAAATTTGCTCAGTTTTATTTACTGTGTGAGTTTTTTTGTTTTGTTTTGTTTTTTTGAGACAGGGTATTGCTGTATCACTCAGGCTGGAGTGCAGGGGTCAGACCATAGCTCACTGCAGCCTTGAACTTCTGGGTTCAGCAATCAGCAGTCCTCCTGCCTTGGCCTTCCAAGTAACTAGAATTATAAGCGTGCACCACCACATTTGGCTGGTTTTTTTTTTTCTTAGAGCTAAGGTCTTGCTATGTTGCCTAGACTGGTTTTGAACTCCTAGGTTGAAACAATCCTCCCACCTCAGCCTCTCAAAGTGCTGGGATATCAGACATGAGCCACCTGCAATGCTTGGCCTATGTAAGTATTCTTAGTTGTCATTATTTACATTGTACTGTAGACTAAATGTTTGTGTCCCCTCCAAATTCATATGTTGAAATCCTAACCCCCAATGTGATGGTATTAGCAGGTGTTGGCCTTTTGCAGCTGATTAGTTCATGAGGGTGGAGCTCCCATGAATAGGATTAGTGCCCTGATGAAAGAGTCACCAGGGAGCTTTCTCATCAACTTTCTGCCACGAGAGAAAACTAGGAACTAGGAAGCAGGTTCTCAGTAGACATTAAATCTGCCAGTACCTTGATCTTGGACTTCCCAGCCTCCAGAACTGTCCCCCTTATTTATCCCTCGGTGGTGAGCACCTAAGGTGACTCAGCAACAGTTTTGTACTTTGTGTCAAATGCACAAATGCATTCCCACTTGCCCTTTGTTTGAGTGCATTTCTAATTATTTATGTTCTCTTTTTACTATGTTTATGCTCATTCCACAATTCTCTTTTGTTTTTAAGAGATGGGGGCACCAGGTGCAGTGGCTCATGCCTGTAATCCCAGCACTTTGGGAGGCTGAGGCAGGCAGATCACCTGAGGTCAAAAGTTCAAGACCAGCCTGGCCAATATGGTGAAACCCTGTCCCTACTAAAAAAAATACAAAAATTAGCTGGATATGGTGGCAGGTGCCATCCCAGCTACTCCGGATAAGTCAACAAACTGAAAAGTCAACAAACTGGTAACTGTGGCTCAGGAGAAGACATGCATTTCGTATTTAAGGGTCAAACATCCACAGCCCACTCACTTTTTGACAAATGATGTCTAGCAAATGACACCAATTTTAGCTACCTAATAGGATGAATCCTTAAGAGGCAGAGGCAGGAGAATGGCTTGAACCTGGGAGGCAGAGGTTGCAGTGAGCCAGAATTGTGCCACTGCACTCCAGCCTGGGCAACAGAGTGGGACTCTGTCTCAAAAAAAAAAAAAAAAAAAAAAAGGAGATGGGGGAATCTCATTCTGTCACTCAGGCTAGAGTGCTGTGATGCCATCATAGCTCACTGTAGCTTCAAACTTCTAAACTCAAGCAATCCTCCCAATTCAGCCTACTGAGTAGCTGGAACTCAAGGCACACAATACAACCTCTAGCCAATTTTTGAATTTTTTGTGGAGACATGATCTTGCTCTGATGCCCAGTCTGGTCTCAAACTTCTGGCCTCAAATAATCCTCCTGCCTCAGCCTCTTGAGTAACTGAGATTACAGTTATGAACCACTGTGCCAGCTTGAATCTTTATTGAGTAACAAATGTATTCCACAAGAAATGCTGTAACAAATGTTAGAAATTAAATGGTGGGTCAAAATGAAGTCCCTGACCAGGTGCAGTGGCTCACGCCTGTAATCCCAGCACTTTAGGAGGCCGAGGCAGGTGGATCATGAGGTCAGGAGTTTGAGACCAGCCTGGCCAACATGGTGAAATCCCATCTCTACCAAAAATACAAAAATTAGCTGGGCTTGGTGGTGCGCACCTGTAATCCCAACTACTTGGGAGACTGAGGCAGGAAAACCACTTGAACCCAGGAGGCAGAGGTTGAAGTGAGCCGAGATTCTGCCATTGCACTCCAGCCTGGGCAACAAAAGCAAGACTCTGTCTCAAAAAACAAACAAACAAAAAAACAAACAAAAAAAAAGTCCCGTCTCTCCTGGGGTTTACAGTAATACTCTCTCCAAGAAGATCAACAACAGTAACTAACACATATAATTACATTTATTGATTAATGGAATGCTCACATACATACATAAAGATATCGTTGTCATTATTTTGCTGAGGAGGAAAGAAAGGCACAGAGAGCATGAGGAATTAGCCGAGTCATGTGCTCTAGTGGTGGAGCCTGCATACTGTTTGTCTCTCCTTTACTACATTTACTCTCCCATCAACTGTGAACCAAAAATAAAATTCTGAGGCACCACACCCATCTGAATGGACCCCTCCTCTCAGCCAGGAGCATTCCCAAGCTAACCTGAAAAACGAGGTCAGGCCATGATGAGAAAAGGGAGCCAAAATGCCTCATTATACCCTCCTCCCTTTTGAAATTACTGATACAAGAGACTCTAACTGATAAGAAGTATTGATAACCTATTCTCTCTAAAAACTGGAGGCTTTATCTGCATGATAAAACCTTGGTCTTACCACAATCCAGACATTCCTTTCTATTGATAATAACACTTTCAACCAATTGCCAATCAGAAAATCTTTGAATCTGCCCGTGCTGTGGAAGCCCCCCATTTCTAGTTGCTCCACCTTTCTGAACTGAACCAATCTATATCTTACATGTGTTAATTGATATCTCATGTTTCCCTAAAATGTTTTAAGAAAAGCTATGGCCCAACCACCTTGGGCACATGTTTTCAAAATCTTTTGAGGCTGTGTCATGGGCCATTAGTCACTCATAACTGGCTCATAATAAATCTCTTCAAATATTTTACAGAGTTTGACTGTTTTCATCAACACTATATAGATATTATTTGAGATGTTATGCTAACCCATTTATTTATTATTCACTCACTACATAGTTATTAAACATCTTTGATGTGCCAGGCATGTGGGGGTGGCTCTGGGCAAACAAAGAAATGTGCTCAGTCCCTGTCATTGAGTCAGGCTCATCAACACATAATTCCTGCACAACCTGTTATGTGAAAAGACAAGGTATGTTCCAAGTGAAATGGAAACAAAGGAGGAAATTACTTTGTCTGAGATTGCTGAGAAAGAGTTTGTAGAAGAGAAGATTTTTTATCAGTGTCATGAAGATCAAATAGCAAGTTATTTGTTAAACAATCATAGTTAGTAAATTTAGTAAATCATAGTAAAAAGATCAACCCCAAGAAAGAAGAGGAAACATGGAAGGACCTGGGCTGGAGTCATGCCAGCACAAGGAAGGTACTGAGGGAAGGTGTTCTCTTTCTATGTCCACAAGGGGGTGTAGTTTTAAGGGCAAGAACTTCCCAGAGCCATGCCCCCCACCCATCTCTCTCCATCTGGGAGATTTATCAGTTTCTGTTTTAATTTTCACAGGCATGGGAAGAATGAAAAGTCAATCACTCCAGTGGAAGTTCTAAGGAACTCTTTTCACTGGCCAGGGGTCTTAGAGAAGGTGGGAGTTCCTCCCAGATTAAAAGCCCCCTTCTTCCACATTCCTTGGGACTCCATGTTTGAATCCCCTTCCATGAACACTCTCTGTCTCTCTCATGGAAGTTCTCTCTGTTCTTCTCCTTTTTTCTCTTTACCTAAAATAAATCACTTTCTGCAAACTTTTGAGTCCAGTATTTACTTTACAAGCGCACCTGGTCCCCTCTCTTATTCTTGAGAGAGCGGAGACCAAGAACCTACAACATCCTCTTGGGGG